AAAAAACTTCCTTCTGATACCACTTCACATCAGTGAGGATGGCTATAATCAAAGAGACAGATAGTGGAAGTGTTGGTGAAGGTGAGGAAAAATTGGAACCCTCATACATTACTGGTGGGAAAGGAAGGTGGTGCAGCTGCTTTGGAAAATAGTCTGGCAGCTCCTTAAAAGGTTAAACATAGAGTTACCATTTAATCTAGCAATTCCACCCCTAGGTATATATCCAAAAGAATGAAAGCAGATGTCCACACGAAAACTTGTACACAAATGTTGATAGCAATACTATTCATAATAGGCAAAAAGTGGAAAACAGGGGCCAGCCCCATGGACAAGTGGTTAAGTTCGCGCGCTCCACTTCGGCAGCCCAGGGTTTCGCTGGTTTGGATCCTGGGTGAGGACACGGCACCGCTCATCAAGCCATGCTGAGGCGGTGTCCTACATGCCACAACTAGAAGGACCTACAACTAATAAATAGACAACTATGTACCGGGAGGCTTTGGGGAGAAAAAAGGAAAAATAAAATCTTAAAAAAAAAAAGTGGAAAACAATCCAAATATCCATCAACTGATGAATGGATAAAAAAATGCGGTATACATTCTTTTTCACCATTCACAAAAATAAACTCAGGGGCTGGCCCCATGGCCGAGTGGCTAAGTGTGCGCGCTCCGCTGCAGGCGGCCCAGTGTTTCATTGGTTCGAATCCTGGGCGCAGACATGGCACTGCTCATCAAACCACGCTGAGACAGCGTCCCACATGCCACAACTAGAAGGACCCACAACGAAGAATATATAACTATGTACCAGGGGGCTTTGGGGAGAAAAAGGAAAAAAATAAGATAAAAAAAAATAAACTCAAAATGGATCAAAGACCTAAAGGTAAGAACTGAAACCATAAGGTTTCTAGAAGAAAATACAGGCAGTGCACTTTTTGACATCAGTATCAAAAGGATCTTTGCGGACACCATGTCCTCTCAGAGAAGGGAAACAACAGAAAGAATAAACAAATGGGACTTCATCGGACCGGAGAGCTTCTTTAAGGCAAGGGATAACAGGATTGAAACAAAAAAACAACCCACCAACTGGGAAAAAATATTTGCAAGTCATATATCCGACAAAGGGTTAATCTCCATACTATATAAAGAACTCACACAACTCAACAACAAAAAATCAAACAACCCGATCAAAAAATGGGGAAGGGACATGAACAGATACTTCTCCAAAGAAGATATACGGATGGCCAATAGGCACATGAAAAGATGCTCATCATCACTGATCATCAGAGAAATGCAAATCAAACTATACACTAAGATATCACCTTCCACCCGTTAGAATGGCAAAAATAACCAAAACAAAAAGCAATAAATGTTGGAGAGGTTGTGGAGAAAAAGGAACCCTCATACACTGCTGGTGGGAATGCAAACTGGTGTAGCCACTTGGAAAACAGTATGGAGATTTCTCAAAAAGTTAAAAATAGAAATACCATGTGACCCAGCCATCCCACTACTGGGTATCTATCCAAAGAACTTGAAATCAACAATACAAAGAGACTTATGCACCCCTATGTTCACTGCAGCATTATTCACAACAGCCAAGATGTGGAAGCAACCCAAGTGCCCTTCGACTAATGATTGGATAAAGAAGATATGGTATATATATATATACACAATGGGATACTAGTCAGCCATAAAAAAGCATAGAATTGTCCCATTCACAACAACATGGATGAACCTTGAGGGTATTATGTTAAGTGAAATAGGCCAGATAGAGAAAGACAATCTCTGTATGACTCCACTCATATATGGAAGTTAAACATGTAGACAAAGAGAACAGACGAGTGGTTACCAGGGGAACAGGGGAGTGGTGGGTGGGCACAAAGGGTGAAATGGTACACCTACAACATGACTGACAAAGAATAATGTACAACTGAAATGTCACAAGGTTGTAAACTATCATAATCGCAATAAAAAGTTAAAAAAAAGTCTAGAATAAGCAAATCTATAGAAACAGAGTTGATTAGGGGTTGCCTAAGGCTAAAGGGTTTAGGGAGAATTGTGATTGAATGCTAATAGGTACAGAGTTTCTTTTTGGGGTGATGAAAATATTCTAAAATTAACCGTGGTAGCGGTTGCACAACTCTATAAAAATATTAAAAACCACTGACCTGTACATTTTAAATGGGTAAATGGTATGGTTTATGAATTACAGCTCAATAAAGCTGCCATTTTAAAAAACCTATTCCTCTTGGGGAAATTTACTACAGCTTCAGTTTTAGTTTCTTTGGATTCTCTTTTTCTTGTACAGTCAATTTTGAAATGATTTATTCCTAGAAAACAGACCATTTCACCAGTTTCACCTTCAACTTTTCTTTGAAAAGTTCTCCATTATAAAACTCTTCTTTAATGTCAAAAAAAAAAAACACCACTTCTTAAAAGTTCCTGTAACTGCTATTCTACCAAATGTTATCCCACTGGCCTACCTGCATGAAGGCAAGGAAAGAACAAGTTCTATTATTCCCATTTTAGAATTAGAGAAACTGAAGCATAATAAAGGTTTCTAAAAATACTTTGTCCCCAACTTTCTTTTAAAAAATCAAAGCCACAGAGAAGTTGAAAGTACAATGGATATCCATATACCCAGCTCCTAGATTCAAAATTATTAACATTTGCCACATTTGCTTTCTCTCTCTCTACATACACATACATACACACCACATCCAAATACCCACACACCTTTTTTTAACCAATTCTTGAACCCATCATATTTCACTTCTAAATATTTCAGCATATATCTCTAAAGAATAAGGTCATTCTCAATATAACCACCAAACCATTATCACACTAAAGAAACCATAAAATTGAACAGTCTCTTACAAGGATGTGCGAAAGCAGATTCAAAACAAGGGCTTAAGTCATCTGACTAAATGTTCTTTATCTTGGTTTGTCTAATTGGACCTGAATTGGTTCTCTGGTGATTATTTAGAAGTGACAATCTGTCAAAGAGCATTTCCTTCCTTCAATGACCTTGAAATTAGATTTCATTTACTGCTTCACCAGACAAGTATTCTTAAATCCAAGCATTTCTGAAAATCAAGCAATAATCTTCTAAGTTATTCCAACCTCAAAAATCAAGTATACTGAGTTTCCAGTTTGTTTTCTAACACTACACAGAGTCTTAAAGTGAAGTCAATCTAATTAACTCTCTCAAAACTATACTCTTTTTTTATGTGACATAAAAGAAGTTTATATTGTACTAAACAATTAAAATTTCACTGTAACAGTTTTAAAGGAAAACAATTGTTGTTCTTAAGAAAAACATATACAAATAGAATTGATAAGCCAATTAACCTGTTTTATACATGAAAAAATTGGTAAGTATATTTGTGAATCTCCATGAAAAACTAATTTTTCAGTGGATAAAATTTAATCTCAGTCCTGCATGTCAGGAACTAAAGTAAAATAAAAAATGATAAAACCCTATCCCGGCTCTCAAAGATCATACAAGTCAGCTTAAGAGTTTGCTATCGGGGCCAGCCCCATGGCCAAGTGGTTAGGTTCACGTGCTCCGCTTCAGCGGCCCAGGGTTTCGGATCATGGGCGCGGACATGACACTGCTCATCAGGCTGTGTTGAGGTGGCATCCCACACGCCACAACTAGAAGGACTCACAACTAAAAATATACAAGTATCTACTGGGGTGATTTGGAGAGAAAAAGCAAAAAAAAAAAAAAAAAAAGAGTGATATCAGAAGAAATAGCAATACAACCTGAAGTTAATATTTAAAGGTTAAACTGTGTCATACAGATAAGAATTACATCCATAATCACAAAAACGTTTAAGATCAATCTACAATCAAATAACAGCTAATAAGAGTGTTTACTATGTGCTGCTAGGCAGTGTTCTAAATATATTCCATGAATTAACTAATTCAATCCTCACGGCAATCTCCTGTTTCCACTGAGGAAACAGAGGTAACAGAGAGATGCTAGCATAAAGAATTTATCTAAGAGGTAGGACTTGATCTCAACCTTACAGTAAAGAAAAGTAGAACAAAAAGAAGGTCATTCCAAGAAAATGGAAAAGCACAAGCCAAAGCATAAATATGACAAGTATCTAGGTAAGGCCAAAACAAAAGTTTCAAATTGAAGAAATTAAGGCTGGATAAATAGGATGGGATTGGATTATGAGAGGCCTTAAGTACCCTGCAAATGGATGAAAATTTTATAAAATGGCTAGAGCAGGACACCACTACAGGCTCTTCATGTGCTAAAAGTGTCCTTTTAGAAATGGCAGCCTGGTAACAATGCAACATGAGTGAGAGAGAGATGAGAAGCAAAGAACTTTGTCCAATTCTAACATTTACACACCAGCTCAACAAATTATCTGGTACCTGAGGAACCAGAGAGCTCACACAGAACCAACCGCGCCACCCTTCACATCAATAAGCCTATGCATTATGAACAAAGCAGTGGTAAATATAATTGCAACATACCCTGAATTATTTTCCAAATATACCTTAATGAAGTTAAAAGGCACATTGAAAACTATGTCAGTGAGAAGTGCTAATCAATTAATATAAAACTATTCTTGCTATTCAGTACAATGCCAAAATAATTTGGCCAAATTTGGCATAAACACAAATTTTAAAGTACAGGCATTTACTTCAATAAAAGGAACATCACAAATTTAAAAATTTACAAAATAATTCAACATATAGCTTCCTTAAATCACTTCAGAACTACTACATAATTTACCAAGAGGCAATAAACATATAATTTTATAAAGTTATTATGTAAAAGATACAGTTTAAAAATTAATGTCACATTTATTCATACACCCATTAAGAAATAGGTATTTAGCATCCACACAATAAATTCCATAATCCACACCAAACTCACAAAAAAAAGCTATCCCAAACAACTTCCTTTCTTCACAATTAAACAAATTCCTTCAAAGGAAGCAATGTAGAAGAATATCTCAAGTTTGTGAAAACTAGATTACTTACCAGTAACTTGAGTTATCCTATTGGGTCTTTTCCCTCACAGATCCACCTCTCTTGCCCTTCTGTCCAGCATGAGAATCTTCCTGATGGGCATCCACTGGAACTGAGGGGGCATGCAGTACAGACGTATATGTAAGAAAGTTGGGGGAGGGGATTTGGGAGATGCTAGAGACATGCTTCAGTGCACTTGCTTACCTTCCTGAAATTGGAAATTTCAACGGTTCCTTGGTCCTCGAGGCATTCACAATAACTTCAAAGAATGTGGATCTGTGGAGATTACCCAATAGGAGAACTCCAGTTACTGGTAAGTGATCCAGCTTTTTCTTCTCTATCAGAATAAGAAGATTATTTAATTTTATTTGAGATTATTAATACATGTAGAACTACAGGGAAACAGGTTGTAAATTTACCAGATAACTATATAAGCATGCACCAAAGTAAATACAGAAACAATTTGCTAACTACAATGTCAAGAGAAACTTGTGGCATTATCAGAAACACTATGAAAAGAACATGATTTGAATGGTTTCATTTTCAAATTTCCACTATAATGGCAGCTCTTCATTTTAATATACCAAAATATCAGCTATCAGACTATTCCATTTCACTGAAACACCACCATCGTTTTTTAAATATTAGCACAAGGATAACTAGTTGATCAATATCTGCCATTAACATTCACCGGACATTGGTGTAGAGGCCATCACAGTGGACTAACAATCTATACAACTTCAGATAAAAAACATCAAGACAATTCCCATTTATCACCCAATAAGTCTTTAAAATAACTATTTGTCATCTATAACAAACCAACCACACACACATAGGAAAGTATACCAGGCTATTGATAAATAATAATGCTGATTTGAATTTAAATACTTGTACATAGTACATAATACTTTTGATTGTGTTATACTTTACATGAAGATACCCTATTACCTTTAACTCAACACCTATTAATCAGGTATGTGTTCATTTTGATGTGCTACAGCAGTGATGAACTTCAACCACCGGCCACTGCTGAAGATACAAACATGTTTCAGTAATACTCCTCCCTTTTTATCAGTATGTTGCTAAATAATCATACCCCACCTTCAAGAAAAGTATGGTTTCATGGTTCTTTATTCTATGGAAACAAATTAAAATAACGTATAACTTTGCCTTTGTTTTACGAGTAAATGGGGTAAGATGCTGTATAAAATCATTATTCAACAAAAACAAATTGAAACTGTAATTCTAATGAAAATCTCACATTTCAATGTTGTTATGAGGTAATATTTGTATGTAGTAAAGGTTGTCAGCACACGTCAAGATTTTTGTTAGATTCCTACATTTCAATATACAAATTGTCTTGGGTAAATTATATCCATTTGTCTATAAATCTGAGTTTAAAAAAATAATAGTAATTAATGCTTTAGTCAAAAGGGTCATCTAGTTAACTTTTCTAGATTCCTAGTCAACTTCTATTCCCTGAAGAGTGAGCAAGTACATGGCACAACGGTCCTACATGTTTGACTGATAAAATACATGAAGGGGCAATAATCCGGTATTTCATCCTTATGGTATACGCTAGTATAAAAGAGTTAAGAACTAAATAATAATTTCCAATTTTCCTCTATAGCAAATGAAGTCTCCATTTAGACTCAGGTCTTATGAATTTAAAATAGAATCAAGAGCATTTTTTAAATAATTTAAGAGAATTAAAATTCCTTGAAAATATGTTAAAGTAACCAAAAAGGACACACAGACACCAGCATTGAAAGCTACGTTTGTTGTTGCTATAGCCATAAGCTCACCTAAGAAGGACTATATCAGAATAGCTTAGAAAAGAAATTCCAGAAATTAAGATGCTCTATTCAAAAGTAACCTGTGTAAGCTCTAACAATTCTAACGCTCATCCACAAAAAAGGACTGCTTAGTAATCAAGACCAAATCAAGCATTTCACTAACGAAACTCTACTCCATAGAATCTATCTGAACCTATGAAAAAACTGCTCAGAAAAAAATGTGGTAGCTAGCTTCCACTTCCACCACTATTCACTGGTTTGGACATTGCATTTTGGCTAGAAGCAACTTAAATTTCAACTGGTTTTGATGATTCCAGGTACGTTATTTTCTAATTTTCGACTAACATCTAAAATTCTAATGTAAAGATTCACGGTTGTGGAAGGCTGTTCATGGTAAATCCTGGACTTGGAATCCTGTAACAGTGTAATAAAATTTAACATTATAGAAATATTCACACATATTTAAGTGACATTATTGATGGTTCATATATGAAATGGGTGTATGTGTGTGTGTGTGTTGTACATACATATCTCAAATAACGAAAATAAGGTCAAAAGTGAATTATAAATTTACTTATTAAGTAATGTTGTTTACAGCAACTGTCCTTTTCTGTTTTGCTCCTTAAACAGCTCATCAGATAGTCGAGGTAAAGTACAAAATCACACTTTATCTGTTTCTTCCTAACTAGATTCTCCCTCTCATATCATCCAAAAGGGGAAAGTTCTATAGGGCACAACAGTTATAAACAGAAATTATAAGTCTGGTACTTTGGTACTTTGTCTTTTTTTTAAATACGTTTGACCAAAATTTATTGAGTCTATGGTGCCTTATCCCCCTTTTCAGCTCCATGATATACTTACACAACCCTCAGAGTCTCCAAATATAAATACCATCTCATTTCCTAATCAAAACTTTCCTTTCCCTCAGTTTTATCTACTACTTTCCCCTACGTCAACGAATAAAGAAACAAACAAAAACTACTATTTTCTTGTTAACACAAATTTGCCTAAAATCAAGATGGCAAAAACTATATTCATCTGTGAAATAGGGATAACAACAGAACCTACTTCACAGGACAGTTATGAGGATTAAGTTAATGTAAGGAAAGTGTTTAGAAACAATGACTGTAATGTAACCATACATCAAACTGTTAACACAACCACCCAGAAATGGAATTATTCTCACATGAGTTTATACGTCTTTAGAGGGATATAGTCTAAGAACTAAAAGAACCTTAAAGAAATTCTAAACACTCAGAGATTTACTGTTTGTATTAATTTTGGTACTATTATTTTGAAACTATATTCTTTATATTGCAAGATAAAGAAAATAAGTAATTTATGTTATTGATTAGGAATCACGATTTCTTAATTTGACAGATACCACAGTCCCTTAATAAAGCACCACATTTTATAAACCATATCTTAAAATGGGATACTTCTGTAGACAGCTAATATCATTTACTCTTAAGAGTTTCTCATTCAAGGAAACACTTTCTTGATCCTAGTCCAAAATGTCAGGAACATTACATGTAGTCCTTTAAACACTAACTATAGTTAGTATCCAAGTTAAGCTAACAATACTCTCAATGCCAACAATTATGTCAATACAATAAGGAAGTCTGATCTTTACTCTGTAATTACATTCTTTTTCTCATCTTTTCAGGCTATAATATTACAATTAATCTGACCTGGGAAAACCGGACAGCCACATGCAAAAGAATGAAAGTACACCATCATCTTTCTCCATACACAAAATACACTCAACATGGACCAAAGACTTGAAGGTAAGAACTGAAACTATAAAACTTCTGGAAGAAAATATAGGTAGTACACTCTTTGACATCAACCTTAAAAGGATCTTTTGGAACACCATGTCTACTTGGACAAGGGAAACAAAAGAAAAAATAAACAAGTGGGACTTCATCAGACTAAAGAGCTTCTGGAAGGCACAGGAAACCAGGATCGAAACAAAAAAACAACCCACCAACTGGGAGGAAATATTTGCAAATCGTATGTCCGACAAGGGTTATCTCCATAATATACAAAGAACTCACACAACTGAAATACAAAAAAAGAAACAACCCAATCAAAAAGTGGGCAAAGGATATGAAGAGACATTTTTCCAAAGAAAATATACAGATGGCCAATAGGCACATGAAGAGATGCTCAACATCACTAACCACCAGGGAAATACAAATCAAAATTACACTTAGATATTACCTTACGCCCGTTAGAGTGGCTACAATCACCAAGACAAAAAATAACAAATGTTGGAGAGGTTGTGGAGAAAAGGGAACCCTCACACACTGCTGGTGGGAATGCAAACTGGTGCAATCACTAGGGAAAACAGTATGGAGATTTCTCAAAAAATTAACAACAGAAATACCATATGACCCAGCTATCCCACTACTACCAGGTATTTATCCAAAGAACTTCAAATCAACAATACAAAGAGACTTATGCACCCCTACGTTCACTGCAGCATTATTCACAATAGCCAAGATGTGGAAGCAACCCAAGTGCCCATCGACTGATGATTGGATAAAGAAGATGTGGTGTATATATACACAATGGAATACTACTCAGCCATAAAAAAGACAAAATCGTCCCATTTGCAACCACATGGATGGACCTTGAGGGCATTATGTTAAGTGAAATAAGCTAGACAGAGAAAGATAAACACAATATGATTTCACTCATTTGTGGAAGATAAATTTAAGGACAAAGAGAACAGTTTAGTGGTTACCAGGGGTAATGGGGGTGAGGGATGAGCACAAGGGGTGAAGGGGCACATTTATATGGTGTCTGACAAATAATAACGCACAACTGAAATTTCACAATGTTATAAACTATTACGACCATAATAAAAACAAATTAATCTGACCAGATTCTAAAGCCTTGCATTAGTTTTCAAATCAATTCTTAATAACCATCTCTAAAACATAAGGGCATGTTTTCTGTATAAAACTGATTTTATAAAACAATGGCAAATTTTTCTAACATCATAAATTTCAATATAGTCTGAAGTTAACAGTGACAGTTTTCAAACTATGTCATAAGTAATAACTTTGTCCTAAGTAATAACTTTGCTCATCAGCATGCATAAAATCTGTATCACAAATCACATTAAATCCAATGTATTCTACAGATGACTATCACTTTACAGACCAAATACAGTTTTGTGGAAAGTGCGGTGATTTGCTTGGTAGGCTGATCAATAAAGAATGCTATGATTCATTCCTCCTAGAAACAGCAGATAAGAAACCATACATGCTGCCCCACAATTAACCATGCAATTTTTCAAGAGTTTTCAAGGTTACCATATATTTACTTACCACTTAAAAACTTCTTGATACCAAGATGTACCCAATTTTTTAAAATTAATTCTACTAATTTCTGTAGCTAGAATCAGGAGCTATCTATAGAAGTATATGCTTAAGGATAGATTCAACTAGATAATTAGGCACTCTTCCTAGAGAAACAAAGTTAGTTACTAAGAGAATTTTATTTATCTCCCAACCTACCAATATTAACCTCCTTTATTTAACCTATAGATACAATTCAGAACTGTTCTAACTATCACGAAAAGCTTGGTGCTCTAACTATCATGAAAAGCTTGGTGCAAGCACTATGCAGGATTATCATCTTCTTACAACTTAAAATATAAATTTTAATGCCACTCGTTAAAATAAACATTACATAGAATACAAGGGAAAAATTAAGATTCTATCTGAGGGCACTCCTCTTGAAGACCTTCTCTTCCCTCTGTTTCTATAACATTCATTCCCCTGGGTTTCTGGCACCCTATTTAATTTTTCTTTCTCCCCCATTTCTTTCTTCTTTCTGGGATGCTATTCCTCTATCACTACAAAAAAGTAGTGACGTTTCTCAAGTTTCTGTCCTCGGTTCTCTTTTCTCATGCTATTCAGCCTATTCTCTCCCCGATTTGCCTTATCCACTCCCACAGCTCCAACTCGGTCATGTATGCTGATGATTACCAAATATACATTTATAGCCCGGTTCTCGTTCCTAAGCTTTACCTCCATATATCCAACTGCCTCATAGACCCCTGTTCTCAGATTTCCCTTAGGTAAGTGACATTCAACAAATCTGACAGTGAACTATTACATTCCCCAAAACCTGTCCTTCCTCCTATTCCCTATGTCAGTGAGAAATACCACCATTTACCCAGCTCCTTAATGAAGCCAGAATCCTGGGATTCATCCTTGATGCTTTCCTCTCTACAACCCAACTTCCTACCTCCCACAACCATATCCAACCATCCATCAAAGTCTTATAAATTTTCTCCTAAGCATATCTAGAATCCATTCATTTCTCTCTCCCACTGGCATTAACCTTGTTCAGGCCCCTACTGTCTCTTGCCTAGACTACTGCAATGGCTTCCACTAAATGGTTTCTCTGCCTCTAGTTAAGATTCAACACAACGTAAGACAGAATAAAATGTTATGAGCTGTGGTTTCAACTATGCACTGTATTGATGGCAAAAGAAAACATTTTTTTAAACTGCTAAAAAAGCTGAGTATGAAGGTAACTTAGGTTGACATAAGCTCTTTTATATCCCAAGACGTGGATGGGGCCTGCCTGGTGGCATAGTGGTTAAGTTCGTATGCTCCACTTCAGCAGCCCAGGGTTGGTGGCTTTGGATCCTGGGCGTAGACCTACACCACCACTCATCAAGCCATGCTGTGGCGGCATCCCACATACAAAATAGAGGAAGATGGGCACAGATGTTAGCTCAGCAAAAAGCTTCGTTAAGCAAAATGAGGAAGACTGGCAACAGATATTAGCTTAGGGCCAATCTTCTTCACCAAAAAACAAACGAAAACAAAAAAAAACCCAAGAAGTGGAAAAGAGTTTAAACCAGCAAAACAATCAGATAAATTATAAAGAGCCTTTGCAGTTCAGTTAAGCATTATCAGTACCCTATGCAAGATACAGTGACAGGCACTGAAAAGTTTTATGAATATTACTTATAATTATTATCATTATTATTAACTAAGACCTATGCTAAGTTCCTTATATCACGTTATATTTAATCATCACCAAAAAGCCCTCTGGTTATATGGCTATAAACGGCAAGGTGGGGATTTAAACTGAAATTTGATTCCAGGACGAACGGTGCTACTCTCAAGGAGATTACAGTCCAGGGAAGGAGAGAGAAATAAAAATGAAATATTGTCAATACACTCAGTAAATATAATCACTACATTTTTGCAAATAATGCTTTAAAAGTAACTGAAAGGGCATTCATTCTGGCCTAGGGATAAAGAAAAGCTTCTTGAGGTGATGGCTGAGCAATCACAAAGATTAAGAAACAAACTGTGGAGGACAGGAGAGTGTGAGGCAGAAGAAACAGCATAATACACAAGATGACACAATGGTCTAAAAAAGACCATGGCCACGCCCTCTGACAATCCAACTGAAAGCAGACTTACTCTTTAACTACGGCAAATCGTAAAAAATGTTGCTTTCAAGTGTTCAATTCTTAAGTCTATATACACTGCTTACCACTATTACAGTACTAAAGCACTTTCTAAATGTTAAAACTTTTACCACTAAGGTCCAAATGTTTACATGATAGTCCACATCAGGTTACCAGGAGACAAAGACACAGATACACACACACACAGAGGGAGGGTAGGGAAGAGAAGGTGGGGAGGGAGGGAAGGGAAAAGGGAAGAAGGGTGAGTAGATGAAGTTACTCCTGAAACAATTTGTGGAAATGTTATTCTTTAGTAAAAAATAATTATTCTTATGCTCTTGTTTTGTCGGTCACCCCACTAGAATCAAAATTTGATGATAGGGACTGTTATATTCCTATATAGATGTCTATTATTATATTGTCACTCATGTATTTGAGTGTTTTAGGTAACATTTTTTGAGGACTTACTACACGTCAGGAACCATGCCAAGTCCTTTACAAGAATTATCTCATTTAATCCTGATAACAACCCTATAAGGTAGGTATTACCATCATCTCCATTTTACAAATGAAAAAACTGAGGCTCAGGAAGCTGAGTAACTTTCACAAGGTCACACAGCCAGTAAACGGTGAGATCAATATTCAAAACCAAACTGTCGAACTCCAGAGTCTAAACTCTTTACTACTATACTACATAATTACCAGGAACTCCTAAAAATTGAAGTTCTTGTCTTTTTTTTTTTGCTTTCCATTATTATACTGAATACACATAAAAATTAAAAACAAATACGGGGGCCGGCCTAGGGGTTAAGTTCACATGTTCCGTTTCGGCGGCCTGGGGTCCACCTCTTCGGATCCTGGGTGCAGACATGGCACTCCCTTGGCAAGCCATGCTGTGGTAGGTGTCCCACATATGAAGTAGAGGAAGATGGGCATGGATGTTAGCTCAGGGCCAGTCTTCCTCAGCAAAAAGAGGAGGACTGACGGCAGATGTTAACTCAGGGCTGATCTTCCTCAAAAAAATAAATAAAAATAAAAACAAATATGTAGTTAAAAAAATAAAATGATGTTTTCCTGCACTAAAACTAAGAATACATAATGAAATCCTATACCAGTGGAGGATGGCAAGATTACAATTAAAATATAAATTACCAAGGAATATTACAGAAAAATGCTGTGTGATCAGTGACATTAAGTTTATGGAAAATAAGGAACAAGGGAATACTGATCAAATTTGATAAGCACATTCATATAGATAATGGAACAGTCTATTAAATTTTATCAAAAAGTAACACTTGCAGCTGGCCCAGTGGCGAAGCAGT